CTCATGAATCTCAAGGGAACCAGAGTCTGTTTATCATTCATGTTAAATCTCTTTGGGAATGGTTCTGCCTCTTTAAATGAGTATGCTATATGTTTATAATAACCCCAAGTCCGGCCTTTTTGTTCAAACAGTTTAGCCTAGGCCAAGTACTGCTGAGATGAGAATAGCTCATCACCTCACTAAAAGGGCATACGCCCATTTAGCCATTTGTTCTGAATCCATGCCGGTTGTGTGTTAACTAGAGGAGGAGACAGTGAAAATAATGGTCACTGGCATGCTGTCAGCATTGTCTGAATTTTAAACTCCTGATCATAGCTTTGAAGACATAGGTGAGAAAAGCCACCCTGAGCCCCCAGTAATGAAAAGGAGCAGGTTGAAAAACCCAGTTCACTACTTTTCATAGCCTTCTTTGAAAGAAAACAGTTTACATAGTGTTGCCCTTTTCCCTCCATTTACTCTTTCAAATGATTTAGCCTACAATTAGATTATGTTAAATTGAGCCGAAATCTGTTTATAAGTATTCATCGCATCTCGGATTCTACCTTTAAGTTGACTGACTTCTAACAAAGAAATTGGCTACAGCAGATGGCAGGCAAGCAACCTTTAGGCTTTAGAAACGCATATTGGGTGAGGACCTAAGGAAGAAAAATTTCTACTAGCTGAGAGGTTTTCTAAGTGCTTCATCATGCCCCTGGGAATTTTTGACTGGATCCTCTCTGAAATTTTAATTTGCAGATAGGCAGCACTAATGAGTACTAAAAGGCTTCTTTTGGAAGCTTTTTATTTTAGCTTCTTAAATTATCATTTAATATTATTAACAGCCTGGAACTGAGTTGAGAAATTAAAACTCTCTCCAAAATCAGTGTGTCCATTTTATCTGAGTCCACCTTAATTTCTGGGATTCTGACACATGAAATTAAAAGCTAAATCTAAAGTTTTAGCAGGTTATGATTTGAGCAGAATTTGAAGCAATAGTGTTCTTTGGGCAAAGGTTAGACCAATGCATTTCTGGTAAATGCATTCCTACAGCAATTCAAACTCTGCTTTAAAAAACATTTTCCCATAAGGGAAAGGGCTCTGTGTTCAACCGCTCGCTGGGTCATTTCCCCTTCTATACTAGCAGCCTTGTTTCTTAATGCTGAAGAGTGTGCAGTAATTTTTGCAGTTATATTTGTCACAGCAGAGGTAGCAGCTGAAAGCAAGAAAAATTGCTTCACTGGGAAGAAGGGATTTTATAATATCAAACTTCAGAGATTCTTAAAGATGCATAAGCTTGGTATTTGGCTACTAGAAAAATTTGTAACACGACCAGTTTTTTTTTTCTTTTGGAATTATATCAGTTACGGGCACCAGACCTTTTCCTCTCAGAGGCCCTGAGCAGAAGTGATTATATCAGTGTGAAAAATTATGGAGGAATGACTCAAATCCCCAAACTTCTATAACTTCACCTGATCAGGTGCACCTAATATTTGGCTGTTGTAAGTTAACTTTTAAGTTTCATTTGTCCGTATCCGTCCTGAAGTAGCTCTTTGCTAAAGGCAAATAGGGTATTAGCTGCTTTCCTGCTGCCTAGTGGCATGGCACACTAATAAGTGCCTATCAAGTTAACTGCCTTGGAACAACTGCACATAAGTGCATTCCTGATCTTGGTGCAATTTACATCAGGATAAATGACACCTGTGTATGTATTTATCTTTCCAAGATAAATAGTTTGGAACTGTGAGTAAAAGAATTCTTCTGCCCTTGACTGTCCCATTTGGTATCTTCGCTACCAGTTCTCACTTTACTTGTATGTATACTTCTAGTGCATCTGGTTTAGTGGGGTTACTTCTAACTATTTTGTAATTAGGTGCTTTGCTATGCTTTGGTTGGTGTCAGTGGTACAAATCGTACTCAATTCTATAATAAACTTATGGGTAGAAATCTAGATGTGGTGAATACTTTTAAACAGATTCTGGTTCAATTTAACACCATCTAATTGTAGGCTAAATCAGTTGAAAGATAAAATGGAGGAAAAAAGGCAAATCCTATACAAATTATTTTCTTTGAAAGAAGGCTACGAAAGGTAGTGATTCGGGTTTTTCAGTCTGCTACTGCATCTTGTAACTGGTGTTAGCAAATTCCAGTGACACGAATCTATAGGTTGAAGGATCGCAACGATGGAAATATTTATGCTACTGTATTTATTCAAATACAAGATGATCCTGAATATAAGACAACCTGCCAATAATTAGATTCCGCATATGGAAAATGTATAGATTTCCAGGTATAAAATCTAAGTATTGGAGGGTTGTCTTGAATCCTGCCCCTTCCCCACTGCTACAGCAGAAAAAGCTGTGGCTGGAGAGGGAGGTTATGTGCCCCCCATGCCCTCTGCCCCCCCACTTCTCCCTCCTGCAGCCTTCCTTCAGCCCTGCCCACCCCAGTTCTCCACAGCCTCTGCCTCTTCCTTGTTCCCCAGTCTCTGCCCTTTCCCCCCAAGCTCCTCCCAGTCTCTACCCCTTCTACTCCTGCTCCCTGAGGTTTCTGCCTCTTCCCCTCCCCCTCCACTTACTGTCAGACGCTGCTTGGGATGCTTGATCCTGGAACACAGCATGGGGAAGCTCAGCCTTTGCCTTCCATGCAGCAGTTTTGGTGCTCTTGATTGGCTGGGCAGGGGAAGGACTTTCCATGTGCTCCGTGCCTGGGAGAGACCCCCGCCTGAGCTGGAGCCTAGCTGCCGCTAACAGTAAGGGCAAAAGAAATGGGGAGGGGAAACGGAGTCAAGGTAGGTAGGAAGCTGTTGTGGGTGTGACTCTGGCCCTAATCTGGGCTCATGGCCAACGTTAGAGCCACAGTAGCTGCCTGCTTCCCCTCTCTACTTTGTATGCAACTATAAAACAAGGGGCTTTTTCTCCCGTGCTGATTAGGGGGTGGAAGGAACCTCATCTTATATTCAAATAAATATGGTAATAGCCAGGAGATTGTTCTGCAATGTGCCTAGATTTGTACACTGTATTATAAGGTAGTCATTTTCCTTGGTTTAAAGACACCAGTGCAATGAATAAGCAAAAGACTTCAGCCTTTGTAACTCTTAATCTGTTACAGAATTAATCCCTTAAGGAAAAGAATAGGAGATTTAAAAAAGAACCAAATTCAGCACAACAGTTTGCCTTAACATGCATAATGCAGGCTTTCCAATTAAAATGTTACAATTTAAAACTTTGCTCAGAGAATGATGAGAGAGCAGTTATTTTAAGAAGGGTAAAGGCAGTCTGCTAAGTTTTCCTCTAGTAACCTCTAACTCAAAAAGCGAAAATAAGAGTTTTGAAAATATACTTGCTATTGGATTTTGTATCAAAACAGCAACAGAGAGAGCAATTAGCTGTTGTAAACTGAACTACTGCTAATCAATGGTATGCAGCCAGCCAAGGCATTTTTGTAAAATATAAGCAAAATCTCATCTGTTAATCAATTTTAAAAAACAATTCACTGCTTCCTAAGAAAAATCCACAATGAGACTGCCCCCTACTGCTTCTGAGATACAGAAGCTTTTTGTGG